TGCATCAAAACAAATATACTTGTCATCCTAAAAGTAGCAGAGGCTAATCTACTTTAAAACCTCTATTCTTGAGACTTTGACATCTGGCCGCTAAAAAGAGGTTGGTCGCTTAATACAGGTGTGGTTTTATTTCGATGACTAATTAAGTTGTGCAGAAATTAATCGAAATTACATATACATTATTACATGTTCTAAACAATATTTCTAGCCTTGATTCTATAAGGGACAAGATCAAAACAATGGTCAAAAATGGGGCTTCATTTTATCAATTTATAACTTTAGATATACAGACAATATATTCATTTCTGCTATTTGAGTCTTAGTGATGGAGATCATGAGACAAAATACAGGATTTCACTTCCAGAGATGGTGGTAAACCAACCCCACCCCTCCCCTCTAAATCGGGTCCTGCAAACGGATGACTGTTGTTTTGACCTTCATCCATAAGTCAGCTATTACGAAAATGCTAAATTTTATTTTATGTAGATTACTAGATGTAAGCATCACTGGAACCATCAGTGCTATTCGGATTGTTTATAGTTTCTTGCAAGAGAATATGAATATATAATATTCTCGTTTCTTGGCAATGAATAAACTATAAAGTGCCGTATTCGAGTATGACTTTACTCCTACTAGATCTATGAATCACTCGAACCATCAGTGTTATTCAGATTGTTTATAGTTTCTTGSCAACGAATAAACYATAAGACGCCCGCGTATTTGAGTAAGAGTTTACTGCTACTAGATCTAAAAATCACTTGAATCATTATGCGTAAGAGTTCCGCGTTGTGTGACGACCCTAACGACATCTGCGAAGGAGGCTATCTCACACCCTGATGATTTTGCAACCATATCATATCATCTGTTAACGGCATAAACAACAACAACACAAAATTGCAAGGGCAACAGCTGCAATCGATCCGATTACAATACCAACAATAGCCCCTGTGGAAAGAGCTGTTCCGGTGTCTCCGCTATGCTGATTTCTCTCACACTTCGCTTTTAAGTTGATAACACTATCGATTTTCACCTCATCAAGATTAGCCTTCAGATATTTTTGATACGTCTTCTCCATCCACTGTCTGTCTTCGTAACCCTTGACAAGAGTGTAGAATGGTTTCAAGGTCATTTCGATTGGATATGGGTTAATTAATAYCGATGACTTCCAAAGTGTTAGGTTGTAGCAAACCTCTGAATCAAGAGAGTTTCCCCCTGTGCATGTGGTTTGTGGACCCGAGATGATCATCTTCACTAAAGAGTGACTTCTCATGTAGTTGTATTGAGTTTGTATACCAACGAGACTTGAAGGGAACTTGTAGGGTTTTAATAAGTGGTCCTCAAAGTCTTGCTTTGTACTCTTTTCCTTACTGACCTCACAATAATTAATCGTSAAAACTGTCTCTTGCCTTCCACCCATCACCGCCTGTACGACAAAATGGGTTCCGTAGTCTCTAAAGAAATCCATCGCATTTTCCTCATTTCTCTGGTCTAACATACTTTTAAATCGCGTCTTAAAATCATCATCCCAATTTGCTTCGTCTTCCAGATAGGAAATCGGCATCGTAGCACGAAAAAATCTAAACTCCGTCCCAGACATTGCGGCTGAGTAAGATTGCTTTTTATAGTGTTTGGAAAAGCTTTGGTACCTTCCAGATCCTAGGAAGGGTCCTTTACCGAAGCTAAGTCCAACTGATTTCAAAGTTGCGTTGACTTGCTCTTCGACCGACGAAAAAACGTAAACGAAAGGGTTTGCGATTGGTGATATTCTTTCAAGGGCCATATCTTTAAATACAAGGTAGGTTTTTTTTCCCAATTCCTGGGATGTAGAGAGTCTCGAGGTATCTTTCATCTCTGTGATTCGGAAACTTCACCGCCTTTAACCAGCGCCGGCTTTTTAGTTGCATGAATTTAACGTCATATCCAATCATTACGTTTCCTAAGCCCGCTGCGCATCCATCGTTAGACCACTCCACAAAATGGCACTGAATTAGAGGTTGATCATTCAGCACTTTCATTCTGTCTCTTGAAAAATCTATGCCAGATATTTTACCCGCCTTTACAGGTGACTCAGCTGAAAAACTCACAAGAATGCCTGTAGAGGTATCATACTTAGCTCCGTTCACTTCAAAAGTTTTAAACTGTTCATGAACGATGCCAGATTTAAAGACAGTTTTCCCGTCAGGTAAAGTTACATTAAATACCTTGCTGAAAGGAAGCACAAAAGGAACGGGGATCTCCGCACTAGTTGGTCGTACAAGATACGGGCTGTTAAATAAACGTGTTTCATTCACACATCCTTCAATATCTTTTCCGTAGCAGAATCGCGCTGGAAATTCATACCACTGTTTCTCTTCGTTGTACAAAGGCGAGCTGAAATTCACCAGCACCGTAAATTYCTCGTCTTTCGCGATAGTGTCGTGGTTGTGATCGTTGAAAGCCTTTTGTATCCCTGTCAGAGAGCCCTTGACCACTTTGTAGATGGTTGGGTGGAGAGGGCTGTTGTAATAGAAATATAGTATTGGTCCATCATTTTGGTCCATGGCATCTAGGATAGAAAGTAATAAATGAGGAAAACATTAATAAAATGTAATTAATAACTAGACGTTTGTTCCCTGATAATCCAGCTCTTTAGTCCAGCAATGTCAATGGATCTAGATCAATAATAATATTATTTGATACTTATAAAGCACGGTTTTAACATATGTATATATTCAAATGCGCAACAAAATCCTGACAAAACAAGGACAATATTTTTTATCTGCATCAAGCTGCATAAATTTTGTCAACTCTAAATGGTTTAAAAATTGTCAATGTCTATATATGAAGTACATACCGGCCAACAGATAGCATAGTGCCGGCTAGAGCTTTTTAAAAGCAGTAGACCGCAAAAAGAACAGCCAATATAAATTTTAAAAGGACATGATACATCATTTTTGTGTCTACTGCGCATTAATAAGCAGTAGACACTGCCATCGAGTTTACCCAGATATACTTCATATCCTATTTAACTAGCGAAAAATATAGTTAAATGACATACGATATAACTGACATAAAGTTCATCCCGGTGTAAGGGTTGTAAAACTTCGGATTACTTTCGGATCCCTTGTGCACAGCTAGCGGCGCATGGCGAGGATAGCCGATGTTATCGGAAGTCTCGCGTACTGGCTGGTCAACTTCGCTGCTCTGTTTGCGACTGCTTACGACTTTTTATCGACTGTTTGATCGAAAAGTTTGATCAATGTATCAAACCATCATTTGGTAGGATTCAGTGATTTCTACAAGGTAATCGCAGCCATTTTTGTTTAATGGTTTAAAAATTGTCAATGTCTATACATGAAATACATACGGGCAAACAGATAGCATAGTACCGGCTACAGCTTTTTAAAAGCAGT